TTACATGACTATTTGCAACTGATTTAGAATTAAGCACACTGTTTTTGTGTATGACTTTAAGAACTATTTACCATTGTGTGCCAAAGTTTTGGCACACCTTTGTCTAAGTGAAAATAAGTAACACATTCTCTACACACTCTTAAATATGACAGTTGTCTGTAAATTTTAGTGCACATGTACTGTTAACTAATTTTTTTTTCTGATGTGTAACATGTTCAGCAAAAAAAACAGTGTGCAATAAGATGATGAGTATATTCTCTGTAGAGGATGTGTAACTTATTTTCACTTAGAAAATCATGTAAATCATAACTGAGGCACCTAAACTTTTGCATGCGACTGTATGTAAACGTCATTTATTGTGACTGGGTGCCTGCATTGTGCCTTGTTCAGTGAACAGTTTGGGCAGAAATCCTCAGGGATGTTGGAAAGTCAGTCCGTTTGCATGTCTGAATTGTTTTGAAGGTTATGCTATGATACAATTGCTTCCAAAGAGCTTGAGAAAGTACAATCAGTGTGTCCCAATTCAGGGGCTCCGTCCTTCTGAGGCTGCATTTGAAGGCCAGTTGCGTCACAGCGGTGCGACTAGACTGTCCCACTTTAAAGCCTCCTTCATATGCGGCCGAGAAATGTGTCTTTCTTTTCCATGGCAACGAAGGATCCATCGCGAGGGTTATTGCGTCCCGGGCAGGGATTCGAGAACATGGTGGCATCAACAGAGAAGTGAAAGGCAGCTGAACACTTTTACATAAAAGTTAATTATATATAAATATGAGTATTGGGTTTAAAGGGGAATAGCTAACAATACAAATGTTAAGAAAAAACAATCTCATCAGTAGTCGGCGGTGAAGCATCTCCAGCTCTAATAAATGAAAAAGTAAACAACTAAAATCAAAGTTTCTGGCTCCATCATTAAAGAACTTTAAAGGAACTTGACAGAAACAAGGTGGCGTTTCGTGGCGCAGCGGTAACAGTGGGAACAGCGGTGCTGTGACACAAACAGAAAATCCACCATAGAGCAGATCATCTCATTTCAGTTCAGCCTTCGCGGGTCTAAGTACCTTCAAAGGACACGCCTTCATAGGATGCAGCCCCTGAATTGGGACACACTGAATATTTTCCCACACAAATTCTGCTCTAATAACTCTGCTACAGACTGTCTGCAGTAACAACACTCCTTATCACATACATACATCATCTAAACCGCTTATCCTTCTGGGTCGCGGTGGGGTGCTGGAGCCTATCCCAGCTGTCATTGGGCGGAAGGCAGGATACACCCTGGACAGGTTGCCAGTCCATCGCAGGGCAGACAGACATACACATTCACACACTCACACCTAGGAGCAATTCAGCATGTCTGCATGTTTTTGGACTGTGGGAGGAAACTGGAGTACCCGGAGGAAACCCACACAGACACGGGGAGAACAGGCAAACTCCACACAGAAATGACCCTGGTCGCCCGGCCGGGAATCGAACCCAGGCCCTTCTTGCTGTGAGGCGACAGCGCTACCCACTGCGCCGCCCCACTCCTTATCACGTCAGTCTGAATGCGCAGGGCCAAACTGCTATAGGTGGTTAAATGTAAATGTGTTCATCGTTATGACATAACAACCATAGTGAATTGAAAAGGCTATTTTTGGGGTTTTTTTTTGCAGTTTCGCTTCCATATATGGACTGTGTGGTCTGGGGAGTGAACTGTATATTTTGAAACTTTAACAATGTTTACACAGTTTATCGGGGTGCCCAGTTCTGGTCCTGGAAGAGATCTATCACTTTGGAGAATTCTGATTTGACATGCCTCAACTGTGCAAGATGGTGGATCTCCAGGACCAGGATTTCGCACCCCTGCTGAATATCAAACTCCTTAATTAAAAAAATCCAGCTTTCCATAATATGGAAGCTGGTGCCTCTGCCTTTGATTCCTGGGTGGACACCACCCAGACTGCTGCTTGTCTTTGTTTTTCATCCCAGACCCTCCCTTGGCAGAGCCTGGTGACAGACAGTTAGATCGTTCCTGACCATCGACTTACAGCTCTTGCATCTCCAGCTCTGATTTCAGCCTTAAGAAATGTGAGCTGCCCTGAGCCGCGGAGAGTGAGGGTTCACTGCTGGGGCAAGAAGGCCACATGTATCATATCTGAATGGCATGCCTCGCATTTTCCCCCGACATGGCTCCGAACCGAACCCACCCATCCATCCATAGCCCAAGTGCCCCCTCCCACACCCAACATGAATGCATTCCAGTGGGACAACTTCTGGCCCGCTGGGTGGTCCCTGCCGATCTGCAGGTAAAAGAGGCCGAAGAATGTGAGTCAGGCTGCACGTGAAGGTGAGGAACACAATACTGGCGTTCTTTAACGGACTGAACTGTCTCTCAGCGCTTGCCTTTGAACCTGTACGGGGGCAGGTCCACAAAGCTGGGCATTCTGACCGGCTCTTCTGGAACATTAACATGAGGACATGCCATGTAGACCTTGGGTTGTCTATATCAGTTTCTGGTTTTTCAGAGCTAGATGTATAGGATGATCTGGACAGTGGAACTGCATCCTAGAACACCCTTCTGACTTCTCTGAACATCATATTAGTAAACAAACAATACATCTTCCAAATTTGGCAACAATAGTCATTTCTTAATAGTAACTGACACTCACTGGCCACCTTATTAGAAGTGCTGTTCTTGTAGGTCCACTTTGCTGGTGTACAGATGGACTGTAGCACAATTTGTGTTAGCCATGCTCTAGCAGTTCATCAGCAGTTGTCAGTGACATTGCTGTTTTGAGAATAGACCAACACCCAAAGAATATCTGTTCAACAGCAGCCCTGTGGTCAGAAACTGACTAGTGATGAATGGGGTAGTGGGTGCCTGACAAACAATGCATCAACAGATTGTCTACAGTCTACTTGTGGGGGAAACCTTATAACATGTCTGTAATTTTTTTTTGTTTGGTGGCTAGCTTCCCTTTACACTGTGTGAAAATCTCAGCATCAATACTGTAGTGGTATCAATACTACAGGGTGATTTTAAAAGATTCATCCGATTTCAAAGCGCCATATTTTTACAACCGTGAGGCGCCTAGGAACCAATCACATACCAATTGAAAGAGGGGGGTCATAGAGTTTCTGACTGTCAGTGGAAGATGCTCCCTTCAGTCTGAGAGGAGATGGAGACCCCTGAGCAGAAAGCGTTCTGCGTTCTCCACTTCAATAAGAGTGAATCCGTCATAACTGTGCAGTGTGATTTTTGTGGGCAGTGAACCTCCAACAGCTCAGAGCGTTCGTCGTTGGTTCCACAACACTGGATGATCTCCGAAATCGCACTGAAAGAGCCGTGAGTGCAGCGACACCCGACATGCTCAATCCAGTATGGGATGAGTTTGACTATGGTGTTGATGTTGTCTGTACAGCTGGAGGAGGTTCATACTGAGACCTTGTACAATTACATAATAAACTTTATGCTCATTTAAACCATTTACAGTTCACTGCATTGTTCTGTAATGATTTACAAGTGAAATAAATCATTTTGAAATCAGAGGAATCTTGAATCACCCTGTATATACATTGCTGATACTAAAACCTTGAATATCAGCTGTAGTTTAAAAACTACTAAGCTTTGAATTATTTTTAATTGAGGCACTTCACTTCTAATCATCACATCTAATCATGTGCAGACTATTCAGGCACTCTGTTGTCATACACAGCTCACAACATCACATCACCGCATGAGTTTGTGCTATTTCAGGCTGTTTTTCAGATTTTTTTTTTTGCCCTCAATCATCCTATCCAGCATTTTTCACTGATTTCAGCCGTATACAGATACCCATTGATACCAAAGTGCCATCTCTAGTGGATACAGCTAGGTGTTTTTAATAGTGTGGATGATGTGTATAGTATAGTAAGAACTACATCAGACATACCTTTGTTAAATAAGTTGTACCATAATTGTACTTGACAACAGACGGGCTACAGTCTGCCTGCAATACTGTGTAAAAGTCAAGGACCACCCTTCATTTATTCAATTTGTAAGTTAAATTTAAGTAGATTATACATTTTTCAGCATCAGAAAAGCAGAAAATAGTTGTATAATAAAAATTACTCAGAAGCCTCAACAAGTGAATATAATTATAATCAGCATTTTTAGTATTTAATGTGTTCAGTCTTTGCCTTTATCACAGCTTCTGTTCTTTTCAGGAGACTCACTTTCAGTTTTTCAGCTAAATCTGCAGGGATATTTTACCACACTGCAGTTCGGTCTAAGAAGTTGGTTGGATTGTCTGTTTCGCGCAATCCAAATAATCCCAAACACATTCAGTGATGTTGAGGTCTGGACTCTGGGGTGTTCAGTCCATTGTTCAGCTTCTTTGTTTGGTGTGTCCGACTCCTTTTCTCAGTGAGGTTCTTCTTACACATCCTTTCAGACCCACAGCGCTGAGTCGTCTTCTCACAGTGGAAGGATGGACAGAAACACCTGTGGATGTTTTCAGATCTGAAGCAGCTTGATTTTCTCCTCTCTCTCAGAGATGAAAGCTTTAAGTACCGTTTATTTGATGGTGAGTGTTTTTGATCTACCAGGTCTCCAGTTTTGGAATTTTTTAAACTCCTTTTTCTTGGACTTTCCCTTCGTTATGCAAGTGGATTATCTTATATCCAGTTTCTTCAGAAATATCTCATGATAAATGCATGACATGTTCTTAATGACCATATTGACTGAGAATTAAAGAAATGAAGGGTGGTCTTTGACTTTTGCACAGTACTGTGTTTACTACTTTGTGGATATGATTAATGCATATTTAATTTGCTGTGTTTAGTTAATTCACAGGTCATATCTATTATTTGTACATCGACTTTTCTTATTGGATCAGTCATTTATTTAAATGTGAATTCAGTCCATTGACTTAGACAGATTACAGACAGGACAAACATCAATAAATAGGAATTACAAAGAGTCGAGAGCAAATACATTCTCAAAGTTATGCATCATTAATCCCAGAGTGCTGGACCGAATACACAAACACACACACACACATGCACACGCATCACCTTACACTCAGGAGGCAAAGTAAGAGTCATGCATGGAATACAGCCGGTCAATCGGCGTCAGGAGGGACGTCCCCTCCGACGACATGCAGTCTCCCAGGTGACACAGAGGGCTGTCGTCCACGTCATTGTAGAAGGCCTCACAGCCTAAAGAGAGAGATACAAGGCTGAGACACAAAAACGGAAAGTGAACTGGCCTTTGCTTACTGTGTGGTTAGACAGATGTCTGTGGTTTTCAAGAGAAGTCTATGCCTTTTAGTACCATATGGGTTCATGTGGTCTCCGGGCATCTGAGGAGGGGTCAGGCCTTGGCGGAAAGGGTCCAGCTTAAAGCTGTGGGACTCCAGTGACACAGCCTGCTGTTGCTGGTGGGCTACGGACACATACAAGTCCATGCTCTTCAGTTCTACTGGCAGTCCACAAGAGGGTGCTGTGAGAGGGAGAAAAGAAAAACACAGATCATCTTAAACATACGCCGCCTGCTCAAAGTGTGGGTTCATTCTAACGTCCCAAAATGTTCTCAATTAAACAAGCATGATTTCTTTGTTAGGTTGCAGCAGCTTAGATCTCATTATTACCTAACTCCTTGTGAAACCTGCTGAACAAAGCAGCAACTGTTCTGCAGTCGTATGCAAAAGACACCCCCGGTCAAATGGCGCAATGTTTTGTTGATTTAAAATAAGTGAACACATCCTTTACAAGGAACAAACTTCTGCAAATTTAAAAGAACAATTTTATATATTGAAATTATTGGACAAAAATAAAACATTAAATGGGTCACTCTACAGAAACGTCCACTTTTCTGTCTGTCCATAGGAGTCACTGGTGTTACTGATCCTCATTGGTGTTGCACATAAGAAAGGAAACACCAGAGACAGTTTTAATGAAGAATGCATTTTACAAAACTGCTGCTACAGAACATCAAACCACATGTTGTCAATCATGGAATATCCACTAAAATATGTAATTTAATCCGTCTGAATTCTATTATAATAGAATAAAGTCGGTCACACCAGTGACTTCAGCTAAAAGCTTCATATGAAATCATGAGCTAAATGAGAAAATCTCTGATAACTGAAAGACACAGTGGACTCACCATGTGCTTTTATTCATAGATCCTCAGAAAACAGGTAAAAGAAGTCAAGTGATGTCATCAGTGTGACTTTTATTTCAAAATAAGAGATTTTTTGTTAAGCGGTAACACCAGTGACACGACTCCTGGGGACAACTTTCATTATATATTTTATATATTTTATAATATTTATTTGGCCTTTGTTTTCTTCATATCATTTAATTCATATAGCCCATATTCATGTATAGATTATTGTAGTCAAAATTGCGGAAAAAAACGTTTTTTTCTCTCTCTACTTCAAAATATGGCCTCACCCTTTACACATGACTGTGGGGACGAGCTCTTCTGTGGAGATTGGAATTCTATATGATTGATTTAAAAACCAATATTGCTAAATTGACGACTCAAGAAGGTGTAATTGTTAAAATAACATTGTTTTATTTAAAAATATAAATAAATTGTAACACTGACATGTTTTTCAAGTGTAATATATCTGTAAATGCTACGTTTCTGTAAACGTTTCTGTAGAATGACCCAATTATAAAATGAGCCACAATGTTTGCACAGGCCAAATTTTATGTTTTATTTGTTTTATATGTTAAATACAGCAAATGAACAATAATTCTGCATTAAAATGTGCAGAAGTGTGTTCTCAGTAGATGATGCGTATAGCCATTTGTAACAGCTGGAGAATAATAAGGGAAAACAATTTTATATCTCATTGATGGTGATATTTAATTTTATATAGCCTTAATATTTAGTGTATGCAGAAAGCCCACTCCCAACAACGAATCTCATTCTTAAAAGTGGTCTATACTGTGATTTGAAACGAAACCCTTCATATAAAGACAAATGTGAAATCATTATTTTGGCAAAACCTGCTCTTTTTATCATGAAAGCCACTTTGAGGAACATGAACACTGAGTAATGTAAGTATATACTTGCAAAATATACCCAAAGTGTTTGTAAAGAGACGTTTTTTGCTAACAAAAACCTTTATATTTAATTGAAAAATCCAGTCGTGTGCAAAAGTTTGTGCACCCCTGGTCAGATTATGTTTTGTTGATTTTTTTTAAGTGAAAATAAATGAACAAATCAAGTTAGCATACTCTAATGTAAAAGTTATGGCTTATTTTAGATTTTTTTCCAACATGTTAAACTCAAATACATAGAAATTGTGCATTTGCTTAAAAGTGCCAAATTTGAGTTTTTTGTCCTGTTAAGGATGTGTTAATATACACAGATCAGGCATAACATTATGACCACCTCCTTGTTTCTACACTCATTGTCCATTTTATCAGCTCCACTTACTGTATAGGTGCACTTTGTAGTTCTACAGTTACAGACTGTAGTCCATCTGTTTCTCTGCATACTTTGTTAGCCCCCTTTTACCCTGTTCTTCAGTGGTCAGGACCCCCATGGACCCTCACAGATCACAGGTACTATTTGGGTGGTCAGTCATTCTCAGCACTGCAGTAACACTGATGTGGTGGTGGTGTGTTAGTGTGTGTTGCGCTGGTCTAAGTGGATCAGACACAGCAGTGCTGCTGGAGTTTTTAACCTCCTCAGTGTCGCTGCTGGACTGAGAATAGTCCACCAACCAAAAATATCCAGCCAACAGCGTCCTGTGGGCAGCGTCCTGTGACCACTGATGAAGGATTAGAGGACGACCAACACAAACTGTGCAGCAGCAGATGAGCTATCGTCTCTGACTTTACATCTACAAGGTGGACCGACAAGGTAGGAGTGTCTAATAGAGTGGACAGTGAGTGGACACAGTGTTTAAAAACTCCAGCAGCACTGCTGTGTCTGATCCACTCAGACCAGCACAACACACACTAACGCACCACCACCACGTCAGTGTTACTGCAGTGCTGAGAATGATCCACCACCCAAATAGTACTGAGTCGTATCTGAGCACTGTAGGGTCTGAGAGTGGAGGAGTGGAGGACAGTGGTGTAGGTAGTGAGTGTGGCTTTGTACCAGTGGGAAGTGTTTGGGCGTCTCTCTGCTCCTGTGGAGATTGGCACTGCTGCTGTTGCTGCTGCTGCTGCTGTCGTCTGGCCAGTTTCTTCATCTGCAGTTCATTCCAGAAAAAGATACTATACTTAATGTTAAAGTTCTGGTAGCTGCCAATAGACCAACACTCAGCTGATCAATTATTTACTTCATTATTATTATTATTATTATTATTCTTGAAGTAGCTTGAAAACCATAACATACTGTTAACAAACAACACCGGTGGAAGAAGTGTTCAATATATTAATTAATTAGAAAAATACATTATAAACACAACATCGATGTGTTATCATATTGTATTTGTCACTGTTTTATAGACCTCTGAAGTCGTGTTGTCATTCTGGGATTTCATGCCCATGTTAGGAATTCTGGGTCCAAGCTGGATTTCTCTATGGCACAAATGAATGGGATTTTTGAAAATAGCCCCTGTTGCATCCTGCGGTTAACAAAATGGTTCCAAACCAGATACATTTTGTCCTACATATATTTTTCCACTGCATGCTCTGAATTATGAGGTCAATAAACAGTCGAAATATGAACATTGCTACAACCATGACAATAGCTAATGCTGTGCATTGAAATGATGTTGCATAAAAGTAAGTCTACTATTAATCTTCAACACTGTTATGTAATAACACCACATTACTCCACATGAGCTCTGGGAGCTGATTTGTTTGGGGTATTTTGGTGAAGTTGCCCTTCTTATGATGTCAGTTCAGTGCACAAAAGTGTTTATTTACATTCAAATTCATATTTTGACTCCTTAATGACCTCTTAATCCAGGGACATTTAGAGGTAAAATCTATGTATGTCTCAGTGTGTGTTAATGTACTAGTATAGGCTAAAAATATAATATAAATGAAAACGCAGACTTACTTTATTCTGTTTTAATCTTTAGCTCAGCTATAGCCACTTTTCTCACATCTCTGGCAGGAAACTTTTCCAAAAAGGTAGAACGGTTTCTTGTAAAATGTCTCTCAACGTTCGCTTTTTATGAAAAAGTTTATTAAAAGTCAGCTTCTCATTCGCCAGCTTCTTGTTTGAATTTTCCCTTTCCACCTTCCACATTCAGAGGCAAAATGTATGTAGGATAAAACTTATCAGATTTAAATCCATTTTGTTATCCACAGTGTGTGATAGCAGCGATTTTCGAAAATCAGATTTATTTTTGTTATAGAGAAATCCAGTTTAGACCCAGAGTTCCTAACATGGGCAGTGAACAGTGCACATTCACCATGGAACAATCACTGTGGTTTAGTGCTTTGAAAGTACTGTAGTGTTCACTGCTATTAAAAGAGACGCAGCTTTCACACAAGTCATTGTGCTTTATTATCCAGCTGTTGTCGGCCACAGCTACACAGTACATATTGCTGCTGTCGGAATAAAACCTCATATCTCTAAAATTATAACTTTACAGGAGAAACAAAAAACTTACTTTACTTTTAATATACCAGAATTTTTTCCAAGTCATTTTGGGTCGTTTCTTTTGGTCCATCCTTCATGAAATTTACACGCAATGCATTTTTAAATGTCAAACACTGAAAAATGACAAAAATTGAAATATGAGGTTTTGTTCTGACAGCAGCTATAAGCAAAGCTTTTCTCTACCAGCTCGCTCACTACTCAGCTCAATTCTCTCTCTTTCTCAGTCATCAGCCCTCGACTAACTCCAGGGCTGCATTTATCCCTGAAAAAACAAACAAAATGAAATCGGTTTAAATACAACAAACACGTCTTTTAACATCTTAGATTTTTGTGTACACTAAGCTGCAGCGGCCGCATTTACATACATATATACAAGAAACTCAACTGAAACTGGATTTCACATCCAGGACTAGGAGCTGAAGTTTCTCATTCGCCAGCTTCTTGTTCAAACTTTCCCGTTCCACCTTAAATGCTGGCTGAGGTACCAGAATGTAACTTCTGCCCCATTTAAGGTGGAATGGGAGAATTCAAACAAAAAGCTGGCGAATGAGAAACTGACTTCAGCCTTGTGACTTTTTAGTGTTTGTCAGTTTCTCGCTGCAGATTAAACGTATCAGGAAAACAGCTGGAGTGACTATAAACCTAAATAAGTCCATTCGTCTCCAAATTATCGATGTTTGTCTTAAATCTCTTGTTTCATTAGCTATTAGCTAGGCGAGATTGTTGTCTGTGTTGCTATGGTGACCAGCAGTCTGTGCACCAACCTTCAGGGTTAAAGGGTGAATTAGCAGTTCTACATTAACTCACAGACGGGCAAAGGAGGATTATTTTACTTTTACCTAAAAATCAAATTTTGCTGTGAGGCCGCAACAGGACAGTAAAGCCGTGTGTTGCCGACCCCTGATGCAGAGTCATTTGGAACACTGAGAGGAGAATTCATTTTTGGTTTCAGGCTGGAGGACATGGAGTGGAACACACACAGAGAGAGTGTGTAAGGAAATACAGCGCTAATCTAAGAGATCTACAAACAGCATGTCATCAGTATCAACTGATAACACTGCAGACTTCCTCATTGGCAAACTAGCCCATAAGAGAAAAAATGATTTAAATGTCCTTTTCAGGGTGTGTGTGTGTGTGCGTGTGTGTGTGTGTGTGTGTGTGTGTGTGTGTGCGTATGTGTGTGTGTGTGTATGCAGGTGTATGAAGGGCATCGTGTTACCTTGGCTCTTTGGTTCTGGAACCAGACCTGAACAACTCGTACACTCAAACCCGTCTCTGCTGCCAAAGTCTCCCTTACCTTACAATGAGAGAGAGAGAAAGAGAGAGAGACTGACACCGTGACCTTCATGGTCTGTGGGTCATGTAGGCTAACTGATGGACTGACCCTGGCTGGAGTATCAGATCAACAGAGATAAATACACGGCTGCATTCGGAGCAGCTGCACGTGAATCGAGGCACTGCTTCTGTTCTTCCACCTTTCGTGCTTCCTAAAGAAGAAAGATTTGGACACCAAACATGTCTTGCACTTCCACAGTTTGTATATTCTCCATATACCAATAGAATAGACTACTCTGTAGTAGCCACGCATGAGCCGAAGGTCACCAGGCCCAACAACAAGTGTTAGCTAGAGGGGTATAAAGACCCCCAGCACTGGGCTGTGGAGCAGTGGAACTGTGTTCTCTGGTGTGATGGAGCTCCATCCAATACCTTTAGGATGAGTTGTGATGGAGTTATAGTGATCCAGAACTAATCAACCAACATCAGTAAATGACCTCACTAATGTTTATATGACTGAATGCAATAAAATTCTCACAGCAATGTTCAAACATGTAGTGTAAAGCCTTCCCAGAAGACTTGAGACATAAAGGAGGACAAACACCCTTGATTCAGAAGAAATCATGGATGGGTAGGTGCCTACAAACTTTTGTGTACAATTTCATAAGCAAACTGTATTTTGTCAGTACATATTTATATAATTGTACTTTAAATCTATATATGTCTACCATATCGTCTCTATTGTGTAAAAAAACTCTTTCTCACTTTTTGTTGTTTGTAACTTTTTGCATAATTTGAAAAGTCCACTTACCCTCTGCCTTGTGTTCACAATGAAAGGACCAAAAGAAATAGTCTAATTATTTATTGGTTTAATGGCATCTTGCTACATTAACGTCCATTATAAGTTAGAAGAGCATTGTTTCTCTCCTGTGTAATGTTGTGATTTTGGAGATACAAGGTTTTATTCCAACAGCGACGATTTAGAGCAAAATATATATATATATATATATATATATATATATATATATATATATATAGATATAGATATATACATATATACATATGTGTGAGAAATAGGTAAGAGAAAAAATTCAATTTAAATGTCCTTTTCAGGGCGTATGTTATGTGTGTGTGTGTGTATATATATATATATATATATATATATATATATATGTGTGTGTAAAGGAAATGAGAAGGAAAAAATATACTTAAAATATATATATATAAATACTTAATATATATATATATATATATATATATAGTCATATGGTTGCTGTTTGTTGTTTTTCAGTTTTTGACTTAATGCCTGTTGGCCTTTACATTGTGTGTAAATTTAATGATGAATGGATCAAAAGAAATGACCCAAAATGACCTTGAAAAAAGTCTGGTACTCTTGACTTACTTTAAAAGTAAAGTATGTTTTTTTTCCTTTTCCTGTATATATATATATATATATATTTATGCATGCAATACAATCAATAACACATAAAGACATACTTTTCTGCAGGGCTTGGACGAGACCTCGAATGAAGCTTTGAAAGCTCGTCGCTGCTGCGTGGTGAGGATGGTGCGCGGCCGTTTGGGCCTCTTCAGTTCCCCGTCTCCAGCTGCGTTACTGTCTCCCGCTGCCTTCAGGCTGCTTTCTTCATCGTCATCATCCTCATCCTCACTTCTACCTGCAAATGACATTAACAAATAAAAGCAATCTAGAAATATTAGGAAATCTTGAAATTGTGTTCAATTGTGCGATTGCGCTTTTTTTTTAAGTTGTTGTTTATAAATATTAGTGTGTTCATCAATAGCATGATAAATGATTAACAGCACCAACTTTTTAACACATTTTTCTAGCAGCCTAAAGCCCATCCAGGGATTTTACTGGGGTGGCACTGCTAGGCAAAAAAAGACTAAAATAGTATTACTGGACATTTCTAATGAAAACTGGAAACTGTCCTCCCCCTATTTCATGTTCAAGTAATTTAACATTCCAGTTCACGTGAACTCTGCATTCACAGGATAAAAATATTGCTACTGAATTATTTAAAGTAATAAATGCATTCTGATGAAGCTCCCTGTCTCTACTCACACAGCTATAACAAGAAGCACTGCTTTTTAAAAGGAAGAAATCTTTCTCTTTACATGTAGAGATAAAAGGATTAGATAGAGATAAAAGATGAAAAATGGTCATGTAAAAAATAATTATGACTATTTTGGTTCATAAATCCATACAACTGCCATAAGTAGACATTAGAAAACAAAATATGACCCTTTTATCCCCATCATCAGATCTAGACTCTTATTTCTTGTGCTAATAACCGCATACACTCTCAGAAATAAAGGTACTAAACTGTCACTGGGTCAGTGCCCCTCTTGTCACTGGGGTGGGACCCTCAAGGGTCCATCTCAGTACCTTTAGTCAGGGGACATAACTGAACCATAATCCACTGAATGATATGTTCTAAGCTGTACTGACTCCACACACCCCGTCTCGTCTCCAGGACTTTATTTTACTGTTCTGTTTTAAAACATTCGGTTATGAAAAGGTACAAATACGAACTTTTCACCTGGAAAAACTTATTTAAGGTTCACAATCAGACCTTAAAACCACTGTTGTAGCTTTGAGAGAACATTTACACTGTTTGTACCTTGATGAACGAAAAACGTACCTGCAGAGAACCTTTATTTCTAACAGTGAACTGTACATATTAGTCTCGTAAAACATAATTCTTAATAGTTATTTAACAATAAGCCTCATGATTAATGACAGAATAATAAGCCTGGAGTTAAAGGGGTTAATGGGGTGAATGGAAAGAAGTGCGTGTGTTTGTCCTGTACCTGAGTCGGAGGTGGCGGGGCTGCTCAGTGAGTGCTGGTAGTCTCGGGTGCAGAGCAGTCTGTCTCCCACCAGCACACAGCGGTCTCCTTTCTGCAGCCTGCAGGAGCACACGGAGCAGCAGAAGCAGCGCAGGTGGAACACTGCAGAACCAGCACGCATCACCAGCTCAGCTGGCGAGATGACCTCAGCGCAGGCCCTGCAGCGCACCAGGAACAGCCTACAGAGAGAGAGAGAGAGAGAGAGAGAGAGAGAGAGAGAGAGAGAGAGAGAGAGAGAGAGAGAGAGAGAGAGAGTATTATTGACAAGGGAGTCCAAAACTTCTCCTGAGAAAAATTTCCTGGTAAAATTCCTACATTTCGGTCTGCCTCTTATCCTAAATGCAGTCAGTCAGCCAAGATATGTTTGGTGCTTTAAGTTTGCTTCTTTAGTTTTGCTCTGGAGCTACAAGGCTAACGTAGCCAACAAGTAACGGAGGCCTAATTTGCATTACCTACTGAATTTTTTCTACATTTTTATAGGTAACAGTATGTCATTCAGACTCACTAACCACATAAATGATCCTATTTGGAATTAATCAAAGGCCCTTATCACATAAAATCCAAATTTCCTTTCTTTTATTAAATAAAAGAGTTTGATGTATGCATTTTAACATTGCTAAGGTTTCAAAACATACATTTCACTGTGAAATTCACCTTTTCTGTGAAAACACTTTGTGAAGAAAACCAGACGTGACGTCTCTATATGACTGGGCCGATATTATGATGACCAGGAGAATCAAAATATATTCTCTGTGCTGTGCAGATTTTCTGACCTTGCTTTGTGCACTGGGGCTCAGTCACGCTGGACCAGAAAAGGTTCTTCCCCAAACTGTTCCCACAAAGCTTGAAGCCTACAACTGTCCAAAATGTCTTGGTGCTGAAGCATTAAGATTTCCCTTCACTGGAACTAAGGGTTCTAGACCAACCCCTGAAAAACAGCCCCATGGCATCATTCCTCCTCCACCAAACTTTACAGCTGGCACAGTGCAGTCAGGCAGGTAACGTTCTCCTGGCACTCACCGAAGCCAGACTCGTCCATCAGACTGACAGATAGAGAAGCATGATTGGTCACCCCACAGAATACATTTCCACTGCTCTAGAGTCCAGTGGCAGCTTTTCACACACACCCCCCCCCTCCACCCAGTGATATCACTAATGTTAATGCTTACTGTGCAAAATCCAACAAAACTAATCAGACTGATCAGCACTACTGCTGTGCAGAACCCTGAGGCCCGTCCAGTTTACAGATCACACAGACCACTTACCTACTGTTACATTACTCAGTTAACCACACTACTTGATGTCACATACTGTCTCTCACATTCATTAAATCTGTACTGCTCTCCTGTCCAGCTCTAAAGCAGCAGTGTGAGTAGCTACTTTTAATAAAGTTCAGGTTTTCACAGAGCACTGTGGGAAGAGACTCTGTACTACATGTGACTACATGTGAGTCTGAAGACTGTATATTCGGGATAAGCGAGTGTAGAAAGACGTTGAAAACAGTATTACAGTAACATTAGTGTGTGTCTGAACAGTAAAAAAACTCTGGTCTCCTGTGTGTTGGGTGGTGTGTCCTGTGTGTTGGGTGGTGTGTCCTGTGTGTTGGGTGGCGTGTCCTGTGTGTTGGTTGGTGTGTACTGTGTGTTGGGTGGCGTGTCCTGTGTGTTGGGTGGTGTGTACTGTGTGTTGGTTGGTGTGTCCTGTGTGTTGGTTGGTGTGTACTGTGTGTTGGGTTGTGTGTCCTGTGTGTTGGGTGGCGTGTCCTGTGTGTTGGGTGGTGTGTCCTGTGTATTTGGTGGTGTGTTCTGTGTGTTGGGTGGTGTGTCTTGTGTGTTGGGTGGCATGTCCTGTGTGTTGGGTGGCGTGTCCTGTGTGTTGGGTGGTGTGTCCTGTGTGTCAGGTGGCGTGTCCTGTGTGGTGGGTGGTGTGTCCTGTGTGGTGGGTGGTGTGTGCTGTGTGTTGAGTGGCGTGTCCTGTATGTTGGGTGGCGTGTACTGTGTGCTGAGTGGCATGTCCTGTGTGTTGGGTGGTGTGTCCTGTGTGTTGGGTGGCGTGTCCTGTGTGTTGGGTGGTGTGTCCTGTGTGTTTGGGGGCGTGTCCTGTGTGGTGGGTGGCGTGTCCTGTGTGTTGGGTGGCGTGTCCGGTGTGTTGGGTGGCATGTCCTGTGTGTTGGGTGGTGTGTCCTGTGTGTTGGGTGGTGTGTCCTGTGTGTTGGGTGGCGTGTCCTGTGTATTTGGTGGTGTGTTCTGTGTGTTGGGTGGCGTGTCCTGTGTGTTGGGTGGTGTGTCCTGTGTGTTGTGTGGTGTGTCCTGTGTGTTGTGTGGTGTGTCCTGTGTGTTGGGTGGTGTGTACTGTGTGTTGTGTGGTGTGTCCTGTGTGTTGGGTGGCGTGTCCTGTGTGTTGGGTGGTGTGTCCTGTGTGTTGTGTGGTGTGTCCTGTGTGTTGGGTGGCATGTCCTGTGTGTTGGGTGGTGTGTACTGTGTGCTGGGTGGCGTGTCCTGTGTGTTGGGTGGTGTGTCCTGTGTGTTGGGTGGCATGTCCTGTGTGTTGGGTGGCATGTCCTGTGTGTTGGGTGGTGTGTCCTGTGTGTTGGGTGGTGTGTCCTGTGTGTTGGCGTGTACTATGTGTTGGGTGGTGTGTCCTGTGTGTTGGGTGGTGTGTCCTGTGTGTTGGGTGGTGTGTCCTGTGTGTTGGGTGGCGTGTCCTGTGTGTTGAGTGGCGTGTCCTGTGTGTTGGGTGGTGTGTCCTGTGTGTTGGGTGGCGTGTCCTGTGTGTTGAGTGGCGTGTCCTGTGTGTTGGGTGGTGTGTCCTGTGTGTTGGGTGGTGTGTCCTGTGTGTTGGCGTGTACTATGTGTTGGGTGGTGTGTCCTGTGTGTTGAGTGGCGTGTCCTGTGTGTTGGGTGGTGTGTCCTGTGTGTTGGCGTGTACTATGTGTTGGGTGGCGTGTCCTGTGTGTTGAGTGGCGTGTCCTGTGTGTTGGGTGGTGTGTTCTGTGTGTTGGCGTGTCCTGTGTGTTGGGTGGTGTGTTCTGTGTGTTGGGTGGCGTGTCCTGTGTGTTGGTTGGTGTGTCCTGTGTGTTGGGTGGTGTGTCCTGTGTGTTGTGTGGTGTGTCCTGTGTGTTGGGTGGTGTGTCCTGTGTGTTGGGTGGCGTGTCCTGTGTGTTGGGTGGTGTGTTCTGTGTGTTGGCGTGTCCTGTGTGTTGGGTGGTGTGTCCTGTGTGTTGGGTGGTGTGTCCTGTGTGTTGGGTGGCGTGTCCTGTGTGTTGAGTGGCGTGTCCTGTGTGTTGGGTGGTGTGTCCTGTGTGTTGGGTGGCGTGTCCTGTGTGTTGAGTGGCGTGTCCTGTGTGTTGGGTGGTGTGTCCTGTGTGTTGGGTGGTGTGTCCTGTGTGTTGGCGTGTACTATGTGTTGGGTGGTGTGTCCTGTGTGTTGAGTGGCGTGTCCTGTGTGTTGGGTGGTGTGTCCTGTGTGTTGGCGTGTACTATGTGTTGGGTGGCGTGTCCTGTGTGTTGAGTGGCGTGTCCTGTGTGTTGGGTGGTGTGTTCTGTGTGTTGGGTGGCGTGTCCTGTGTATTTGGTGGTGTGTTCTGTGTGTTGGTTGGTGTGTACTATGTGTTGGGTGGTGTGTTCTGTGTGTTGGGTGGCGTGTCCTGTGTGTTGGTTGGTGTGTCCTGTGTGTTGGGTGGTGTGTTCTGTGTGTTGGGTGGTGTGTCCTGTGTGGTGGGTGGTGTGTCCTGTGTGTTGAGTGGCGTGTCCTGAGTGCTGGGTGGTGTGTCCTGTGTGGTGGGTAGTGTGTCCTTTGTGTTGGGTGGTGTGCCCTGTGTGTTGGGTGGTGTGTCCTTTGTGTTGGGTGGTGTGCCCTGTGTGTTGGGTGGTGTGTCCTGTGGTAGTTCTCCACTATCGCTCTCACTGAAACAGATGAATACATGCCTGTACAGCCTACAGCAATTTAGCTCCGCCCATTAATGCTGAAGTTATAAGGAGTGTTTCAGCTGGGACTTCTGCTTGAATGAGTCACAATACAGGGCAGCCAATCAGAACAGAGCTCTGTTACATACACCAGTCTCAGTAATAAAAACAGTTTAATTGTAACGCAAAAGAAGTTGGATGTAAAAATTATTATTTTTTTTTGGCACACAAACTTTATAAGAGGGGAAAAAAAGTGTGTGATAATTTAGACATGAGGTTTTTGCCATGTTAATTGGTGTTTCTATTCCATTATTTGTTAGCTTTATTAGCCTCGTAGCTCCAGTTGAAAACAGTGTAAATGTGATTGTTCACTTAAAGAATAGGGTAAAATTATTGATGTGGGAGTCCAGAAATCACCTCTCCCTGTTTTTTCACACACATTTTTACCCATTGCAGAAATTCCAAAGATACTGTCGAGTTGCTCTTTTTCGGGAGTCAGACGAGACTGTCATTCTCCCCTCTAAACCTGTCTGCCCCTTCTCTAAAAGACCCCCAGACACACACCCCCAGGAGGGGCAGGAGCGGCCCGTCTTAGCGCCTAGCAACCGCAGCCGGGGCCTGAGCAGGGCGTCCCGGGGAAGCGCAGAAGAAAAGCGCTCCGCAGGCCGTGGCTCCAGCCCGAGCAGCGGCAACCAGGCCTCCCGGTGAGAGAGGCCGGTCCAGGGAATGATCTTAACTGGACTTAACCAAAGCCCAGACAATAGCAGAGCTGGCCTCGAGCCGTGCCTGCATTGTGCTGCCCTGGCAGCCGCCGCATTTTCTGTTTGTCAGACCGGGGGCTGAGATTTCCACGCCCGGCGGGTGTGCGGGGGGTGTGCGTGTGTTGGGTTTGAGTTTAGGATGAAGGTGATGGGGGGGTTTGCTCCCTCCAGAGGTGGGACAGCTCTAAAATCAGCAAGACAAGCTCAGGGCATTTTTGGAGAGAGGAATTTATGATGTTTTAATTTCAGTTCTAGGCTGTTTGGTGGCAAACCACCATGTTCATATTTCACCAAGTATTTGTTGTTAGTCCCAAAGCAAACTGTCACTGTCAGGAAATCTGTATCTCCATTTTGGTTGTTTTATTTACATAATTTCATAATTTGAAAATGCCAGTCAGACCTTACATCATGGGGAAATTTTGTGGTGAATGAACCAATAGAATTGCTTCAAATGTACATGGAATAAACTCTTTTTAATGACTTCCATTAAGAGTTAAAAATGCCGTTTCCTTC